AGAAAGGCCCTGCAGGGCACACGGCTCAGAGAGAATGGTTTTCCGAGCCAGGACGCATGCCCTGATTCCAGCACCTGCCCCCTCCCCTCCGGTTGTAGGGTCCCTGCCAGAACCTCACCTGCTTCCCTCCGGACATCCGGTGCTTTGGGACCTGTGATCAGGGCGTGGTCCCCGTCCCCCTCTTCTGGAATGAAAGCATCGTCGAGCAGCCGGTGTCCTTCCCGAAACTGCAGCCCCGCTATAGTGCCTTTGCCCGGGACTTCATCTCTGCCTCAGCCAGACGCCAGCAGCCTTTCTTCCTGTATTATGCCTCCCACGTAAGTGGCTGGGGGGGGATCTCTCCACAGAGCCTCGGGGGCACCCTGAAACCTTAGCAGCGAGCCCTTGAATCATCCTCTCTTTCTGCAGCAGCCTTTGGAGCGACTGCCTGGCGATGCCAACCAAATGCCACCCCCCCCCAGCTTGGAAAGTAATCCAATTTCCTCCCCCTGCTGCATTGTATCACTTGGAAATACATTTGTTTGTTGGGGTTACAGTACTTGTTACAAGTTTACAAAGTTACTCATCGTCTTCCTGCTTGTGCTGCTTGTTACACTTTTTGTTACTTTTTTTAAAAAAGCCATTGCTTTAAGAAGAAAAGTTGCATAACAAGGATTATATGGCGAGAAAGGCTTTTAAAGCATCTTAAAATAGACTGGGAAGGTAGCGAGAACATCTGACTCCTTAACTCGCAGGTGTGGCTTGGGTCCCACTTCTTAGGCTATTTCTGAAATGTACTGTAACTTTATAAGAATCTACACAGGAAGATTCCTTCTCTGGAGCCAGAGACCCCCTGATCCATCTATTCCAGTATTGCCAACTCTGGCTGGCAGCTGAGGCTGTAGCTCTCCTGGGTTTCTGGTAGACGTACTTTTCCTACCCTCGCCAGAGTTGCTGGCAGGACGCAAAGCTGGGGGCTTTTCACAGATGTATGATCAAGTAACTTGTCACAGGTAATGATGGTTCAGGTCTCTGGCTGCGGAGCTAGAGGTTGGGAGTTTGATTCCCCAATGTACCTCCTGGGAGAAGAGCCAGCCTGTGTGGTCTTGGGCCAGCTGCACAGTGGTCCTAGGGCGCCCCCAGGAGGAGGGAATGGGAAACCCCTTCTGAGAATTCACTGCCTGGAAAACCCCCAAGTATGGCTTAGGAACTGCAGTGACGATTTCTCAGCTTTTGCCCCATCGAGTGCAACCAGGCAGGGCCTGCTGAGTTGAATGTCCACGTTGGAGAGCAGGAGCAGAGGTTCAAGACATCAGTGGATGGCAGCTCCAGAGTCCCCCATCCGTGCAACTGGGGGGTAACGCTTCCTTTCCTCCTCCTTTTCCCAGCACACCCATTATCCCCAGTTTGGCAGCCAGGAGTACACAGGCCGGTCGCTCAGGGGGCCCTTTGGCGATGCTCTCCTTGAGTTCGATGGCTCGGTCGGTCACCTCTTGCAAGCCTTACGGGACGCTGGCGTAGAGAAGAACACGCTGGTCTTCTTCACGGCTGACAACGGGTGAGCACACCCTTGATCGGAAGGAGAGCCCTTCCACCCCACCAGCAGGGACTCGCAAGCTTTTCCTCTGGAGTTGGAAGGTTTTGTGGCCAATGGGTCTTTCAAGAGACATGACCAGGTGGTAGCCAGTGAACGAACAACACCAGAGATGTGGGCCATTCACCATCCACACACGTATGCTCCAAGAAAGGAAAGTTGCCTGTGGACCCCTGGCCCACATCCCTTGTCTCCTTGAGAGAGGTTTGGTACAGCTAGCTGTTGCATTACGGAGGACAGCTGAGTTTTGTTCCTTCATGAGGAACAATGTTATTCATGGATTCTCGAAGGCTTTCACAGCCTGCATCCGATGGTTGTTGTAGGTTTTTTGGGCTGTTTGGCCGAACAACAACCAATGATATTCGTGTTTCTCCTTCACTGTTCCCTGGTCGCTCATTTGGGTGTCTTGTGACTTGGGATTTGGCTCTTCCGGCACTATCTCTTGTTTTGTTTGGGGTTTTTTCATCCCAGGGTTTTTGATACTTTGAATTAAAACAGGCGATGTGTGTGCAGCAAGCTTTAGGAGATGGTGAGCTTTGCTTACCTGCTCATGTTAAGTGATTTGAATGATTACTCGCGTCTGATAGAGGATAGGCTACAGACAAAGGGTGATGAACTTCTTTGAGCACGAGGACCACTTTCACTTTCAGAGAACTTCTTGGGAACTGCCTTCTGGGAATGAGCAGGACCACAGGGGGAAATGTAAGTCTCCCAAAGTGCCAGCATATTGTAGCGTAAAGCACTGAACGGCTAGTCATTATTAGGTTAGGGAACCCCGGAGGGCAAGATTTAGGGTGCAAGGACCGGAGTCCTCCAGCTCTGGTATAATCAGAGGTCTCTTCCTAACCTCGCGGCCTTCTTATTTACAGCCCCGAGACCATGCGCATGTCCCGAGGGGGCAGCTCGGGGCTGCTGAAATGTGGCAAAGGGACAACCTACGAGGGCGGCATGCGCGAACCAGCGGTGGCCTACTGGCCGGGCCACATCACCCCAGGTAAGGCTGGCTGGTTACGGCCCAAAGATCAAAGAAGCCATGAAAATGGGGCAGCCGGGAGATCTCTCACAGCTGCCGTCCCACCGCTCTTCCGTTCACGCCATGCGTCCTCCTGGCAAGGGCACCACAACCTCCCCTTGCTGTGTGTAGGTGTGTGCCATGTTGTTTAGACCGTGCAGAATATCACTGTCATTGCTGCTTATTTTGATTTATATGCCGCTCTTCCGCTCAAAATGCTTGAAGCCACTTTTACAACGCAGGCACAACAATACTGTATTAAAAAACACGTGTCAGTAGAATGTTGCTGTGGGAAGATGCACACCCTTTTTGTGAAACCCAAGCATTTCATTCCTTTTTCCATCCTTCGTGTCGGAAATGTTCCAGCGGGGCTTCCCGGCGGAAGCTGACTCTCTTTCCCAGGTTCCTTGCACTCCTTCTGAGGCCACTTTTGGCAGCCTCAGCAGAGGCAAAGGGGGGGGGGCTTTGGCTGGTTCCCTCTCACTCTAGGTGACCCCTGAGTGGACGGTTGGTGGTACTTAGCATGGCTGAGGGAAGGGCTGTGGTGGGGTGGCTGGCAGTCAGATAATTTAGGGTGGAGGAAGCCCCCCCCCTGAGTGCCCATCATCAGTGTGCTTGTCTTTCTCTTTCTGGGCCCAGGGGTGACCCATGAACTGGCCAGTACCCTGGACGTCCTGCCGACCGTGGCGGCTCTGGCCGGAGTGCCCCTTCCCAACGTCACTTTGGATGGTTATGACCTCAGCCCGGTCCTCTTCGGAAACGGAAAGGTGAGCATCTGGGCTCTCGTCCCACCTGATGGTGCTCCGTTGCAGCCCTTCTCTGGGCCGTGGGCTGTGGGGTTACTTCCTGGACGGCTGTTCCCAGAATCCCCCAGTCACCTGGCCAGATTCTGGGAGCTGGAGTCCAAACACATAATTTGAAACAGATGATGGGAGGAAGGAGGGCCATTTGGTTACTGCTTTGTTTGGGTTCTTGGTGTTTGTTAATTTTTTAAAAAGGGAAATGGCTCGGGATAACTTGGGGAAGTTCCTTTTTTAGGGAGTTGCAGTCCAGCCAGGAGCCTGCCTAAGCTCTCCCCCCCCCCTTGCGGCCTGTGAAGTGGCACCAGAATGGGAAGGCCCTGAAAAGCAGCCGGGGGGGCATTTTGGGTGCTGGGAGAGAGACAAAAGCGAGGAGGTCAAGAGGGTTTAGGATGAGAGGGAGCTGAAGGGAGACCTGGGGAGGCCCGAAGAGGGGCAGGAGAGATGCCCATGTGCGCCTCTGGCACGTGGCACGGCCCGGTTCCCACAGTTCCTCTGCCTCCTTCTGCAGAGCCCTCGCCAGACCATGTTCTACTACCCACCGGCCCCCAGTGAGCTGCTCGGCGTCTTTGCTGTCCGCTACAAGAAATACAAAGCCCATTTCTTCACTCAAGGTGAGTCATCTCCCTCCCTCTGCCCACTGGAGATGGGCTGGAGCCCCTCTGGCTCACGGGCCCTCTCCCGGGACGCCCCCCTTCGCCCTTCCTTCCCTGGGACGAAAGAGGTCCGCAGCCGCCGCCCTTCCTCTCCCTCGTCCTGGTTTCCCTTCTCCAGGCGCCTTCCACAGCGGGATGACCCCGGATGCTGACTGCCACGGGACCGCCCTTCTCACGGCCCACGAGCCCCCGCTGCTGTTTGACCTGGATTCGGATCCTGCCGAGAATTACAACCTCCTCCAGGGAAGTTCTGTGGCGCCCGACCTCCTGGCCGTCCTCAAGGAGGTCTGGCTGCAGAAGGCCCAGTTCGATCAGCAGATGGCCTTTGGGGAGAGCCAGCCGGGGCGAGGCCTGGAGCCCGCCTGGGAGCCCTGCTGCTCCCCTCAGTGCCAGCCCAAGCCGTCCTGTTGCGGCTGCGCGTCCCCTTAGCCTCACGCCGCCCCTGTGAGGCCTGGGTCATTGTCGCGACACACACACACACACAGGGGGGACTGTTCTTGTCATCTGACAAACTCCTAAGGGCTTTTTTAAAAAAAACTAGAGCATTCCCACCTCTCTTGGTTTTTTTAATCAGAGGAAGCTCACCTGTGGCCTTCAGAGGTGGTGAAATTGCCTTGAAATGATGAAGAGAACCACGTGGGGATTTCAGCTCCTTTCCTAGGCTGCGAAATTCTAACTTTCTGTATTGATTTCATGCCTGTTTGTCTGTAAGCCAAACCGCCCTGAACGTGCCTCTGCCCCACGGAGGAGGAGAGGAATCTGCTGTGCCAGAGCAATGCAGTGAGAAGCAGGGGTTTGGCGCTTTTTTGGCCAATCCTCTGCCTCAGTGGCGGACAGGGGGGCCTTCCACCACTTCGCCAACTCAGGCTGCTTATTTTTTCCTGACTCTACCCACCCACCCAAAAAACCCACGGAGGAGGAGAGGAATCTGCTGTGCCAGAGCAATGCAGTGAGAAGCAGGGGTTTGGCGCTTTTTTGGCCAATCCTCTGCCCAACCACCCAAAAAGGGGGATTAACCATTGGAAGAGTTTAAAGGGAAATATTGCAAGTGTGCTTGTTTGGGGGGTGGCGGTGGCCAGGAGGATAAATGCACCCAACTCCCCATGGTGAGAAGAGCAGGAGGTCTCTGGTGCCCCTGCCAGCCTGTTGGGATTCGTGCCGTGCAGGAAGAGATGGGAAGCCTGGTGTGTCCAGGGATAACTTTTCGCAGAGCTTAGAAAACGTTCCTTTCTTGAGATGTAACTGTGGAACCTGCAGAATATGAGCCGACAGTGCAATGTGGCTGCAAAAAAGGCCAATGCTATTTTAGGTTGCATTAACAGAAGTATAGTCTCCAAATCCCTGCAAGGTACTAGTCCCTCTCTATCCAGCACTGGTGAGGCCTCACCTTGAGAATATTGTGTCCAGTTCTGGACTCCAGACTCCAAGAAGGATGCTAACAAATTCGAAAAAGTTCAGAGGAGGGCGACAAGGATGATGATCGGGGGGCTGGAAACCAAGCCTTATGAGGAAAGACTGAAAGAATTGGGCATGTTTAGCCCTTTTGGAGAAAGAAGACTGAGGAAAGATAGGACAACAATGTCTGGGAGATAGTCAGACAGATAGTTTTAAGATAGTCTTCACTGTTAGAGCAGTATGACAACGGAATCCATGACCTCAGGGGGAGGTGGCCAGAACTCCTCCTCCAGCACTGGAGGCCTTCAAGAGAGAATAGGACCACCACCAGTCAGATCTGCTTTGATCTGGATTCCCGCCTAGAGCAGGGGGTTGGCCTCGATGGCCTTAGAGGCTCTTTCCAGTTCCATTATTCTATGATTCCAGTCTCCCGGCAGTTGTACAGGCAGATATCCTGGCAGTTTGCACTTTGGCCTGGAAGGTCCTTTGGACCGCCGCCCCTAAAGAAGAACCTTCCTAGACGGTGGCCATCGGTCACTTGAGTCACTTCATCCTGCTGGTCCTCTGTTCACATTTGCCTGCCATCTTCTTGGCTGGCCTTGTCCACTGTTATAAGGAGTCCCTGCTTTCTCCAGGCCAGCTACGGTTCCATAAACTCACCTCGTTTGCCCTTTAAAACGACTGCATTAAAACGACCCCTCCTCTCTTTGGGTACCTTTTCCTGCACACTCCCTGATCTAGAAAATTGAACCCTTGATGAGCTCTCTTGCAGTTGGCATGGTCGGAAGTGGGCTCCCCTTCTCATGTGAGCGGCGCCCTCCATTCCAGAGCTCTGACTAATCTAGCGGCCCGTTTTCTGCAGTTGCAACCGATGCATTGAACCCTAGAGCGTTGCGGAAGGAAGGATGGAGCTTCAGGCTTCTCCCAGCGGTTTCATGTCGATGTGAAAGAGCATACCGGAGAGGACAGAGCCCTGAGGGACCCCACAGGCTAGCAGCCAAATTTTCGAGCAGGAGTCCCCCGGCACCAACCACCTTCTGAGTTCTCCTCTCCGGGAAGGACCAGATCAGAGCCGCCATAAAACTGTGGCCCCAAGTCCCATCCCAGGAGGATAGCATGGTGGATGCCATGAAAAGCTGAGGTCCACGGAAGAGGTCCAGCAGAACCAACAGGGACCACACTCTCTCTGTCCAGTTCCTGGCAGAGGTCATCCACTAAGGTGACCAAAGCTGTCTCCGTCCAACAGCTAGGTCTAAAGCCAGATTGAAATCAATTTCTTCCAGGAATCCTTGGAGCTGGAAAACCATCACATGCTCTGAGACATTGCCCCAAAAATGGAACAACAGAGATTGGCCAATAGTTGGTCAATATTGTGGCACCTAAAGAGATCTTAATTGTTTCTTCCAAAGAGAGCTTATAACTCTCTCACTCTCTGCCTTAAGTGATAAAAGGGTATCTGTTCCTGGAGGTTCACCGGTCTTAGCATCCAGGGCTCATTTCTTGGGCCTCAGTCTAAGTCTGGAGTGAGAGGTTGGACTCGCCCCCGGACACCCACAGAGTTATGCCCTTCTTTTTTGGATGCACAAATGGCTCATAGGAGACAACCTGTGAAAAAACCAACTCCGTTTGCTCTTTGAACATCTTGGTGGAAAGTCTGCCAACAAGCACCACCCGGACCCTACCAGGGTCTGGCCAGGGCGGGGGCCTGGGTCTCCTAAAGCAATATGTTCTGTTGTCCAAACTGGAAGCCATCAGCTAGAGAGCTCCAGGGAGAGAAGGTGGGCTTTTAAAAATGAGGGTGGGCAGGAATGCACAGCCTCTGGCTGGCAAAGGGCCCCATCATGTCCAAAAGAGATTCTGTTGTTCTCTTTTGTAGGGTCCTGGAATGGCAAAATCCCTTAATCTTTTTTAAAAATTATTATTAAGTCTTGAAATTGAATGAGCAAAGAACCTGTTTTACCTTAGCCAAAATCTAGCTATTTTGGAAAGAGGACATATCAGGATTTGGGCTTTTGCTCAACGTGGACACGAGAGCTGGCCAGTAATACAAACTCCGTAATACTGATCCATCATGCAGGGTGGTCTTTCTAAAAATAAATGAAAACTGATTTCAGAGTTCAAAATGTCTTCTGTAAGTGATTCGTATTTACTATGTGACCCTTATTTAATTCCAAACATGGACATCTGATTATTTGATCCTTGGGGTGATATATTAAACAGAATTGTTCTGGAACCAACCCAGCCTTTTAGTTGCATGTAATTGTGCAGTGATTTCTTGTCTCAGTGGCTGACATTTTGTTGGCATTCAGGTACACGTCAACGGGAGCTCATTGATGAGATGTCAAGGTGTGTCTTCACTGCGTAACCAAGGCACACTCTGGCTCTTCCTCAATTAGCTACCATTAGCTACAAGGTCAGTGTTATTCTGGCAAACATTTTCCCAGATTTTGCCAGGTGGCACCATAATGGTGAGACAGGCCTCTCTGATTTTGCTCAGAGGACCCTCCCTGTCTGGACTCACAAATCTACATGCCCGAGCGGAGCAAGCCAGAAAACTAAGTAAAATCTGATACGTTGTTTAGGCTTTATATGGCCGGGAAGTAGCAGAATAAAATGGCTTCTCCACAGATTGGGATGGTGAGATTCTGAACTGTGATTGTTTTCTGTTTGGCAGCTGGAGGCTCCGAATAAAATGGCTTCTCCACAGATTGGGATGATGAGATTCTGAACTGTGATTGTTTTTTGTTTGGCAGCTGTTACTCCCAATTATTCTCTTCCTTTTTCATTATCCCTGGACTGGAGGCTCCAGAAGAGTTTCAGCTAAGCCAACCCCCTGATATATTGCTATTTCTGAATGCCTTCAAGATAGGCGTGATTTCGGTACTGAAAAAAAATCTGCAGTGAACAGGTGGATAAGCTGTAGTTCATGGAGGGGATCCCACTAAGTTCCATGTTCAAATTCTGCTGCTGCTGCCCTTTCCTCCTGCCAAGACTGAGTCAGCCAGAAGCCACCGGTGATGTCAACAGCCATGGGATGGAATGGGTGTAGGTAGCCTTTCAGCCTAGAGAGGAGGAACACCTTGCAGGTTTTTTGGGCTCTCCCTAAAGTAGAGAAGGGCCTGGTCCCTGGTAGGACAGCCTGGGCGCGCTTTGGTGTTTGAGCGATGGAGGGTTGTATTTTGTTTAAACTATTTTTACCCCACCTTTCTCCTTAAAAGGACCCAAGGTGGCTTACATCATTAAAAAGGTCTTCTTGGCCTGCTTGCGAAAGGGCATCAAAGATGGGGCCAGGTTGGCCTCCAATGGGAGGGAGTTCCAGAGTCTGGGAGCAGCCACAGGGAAGGCTGCCTCCCATGTCCCCACCAAACGCACCTGGGAGGTTGGCAGGAGGGGGAGAAAGGCCTCCCCTGAGGATCTTAACACCTGAGCAGGTTTAGAAAGGGAGACACGGTCTTCGAGATGGCCTGGGACTGAGTCGTTTAGGGCTTCATAGAACCAGCACTTTGAATTGTGCCTGGAAAGGGAATCGGCAGCCCACGAAGTGGCTGTAACAGGGAGGTTGTGCCATTGCCCGTATGCAGCCCCAGGCAAGCCCCTGTCCATTGCTTGTGGTTTCCACAGGCCATCCAGTGCGAGTACAGGTTGGAAAGATACTTGAACACCCAAAATCGTATCATGCCAACTGGTGGAAGTCCAGGGACACAAAGCTCAGCAGCGAATTGCCACCAATTTAAGAGTTGGCGCTTTGATTTCTCAGAACGCACAAATCACACAGTTGGTGCAAAGCGAGAAACGGCGCACGTCTTGACCTCTCAGCGGGTGCCGGTTTGCCTCTAAGAGTGATGCCACCGGACGGAGGGCGGGTGGGTATCAGCAATGAAATTCTGGCCACTTCCTAATCATGGTGCTCTTTTAACAAAATTACTGTTTTGCAGGCTGCTTGGAGTGACTCCTTGATTCAATGAGAAAGCCAGTCTTTAAAAATAGTAATTATTTATGACATGGGCATATATTAACTAATCGTGTGTGATTTGCATACGGCGTATATATTTTATCCTCATGCACCGGAATAGAACAGCTTGTGCTGAATAAAAGGTGAGCTTTTTGATGAGAATCGCAGGAAAGTTAGCACGAAGCAACGTGGAGACGCTGGGGGAGAGATGAACGTGCCACATCCATGTTTCATGCCTGCCCTGGAAATGCCCTTCTCTTCGCTACCACTACCGAATGGGATCAACTTACAACCAAACCCTGTCCCGACAGCACCTCTGGACGCAGAGAGCACAGCATGGAGCAAGTTCATGCGGGGCGGCTGGGGGGGGCACCAATATACTGTACCCCTGTGGCAAAAAAGCAACAGATGCCTTGGGACGGCTCGCAGCTGTCTTCCGCTTGTAATAAACGCACACCTGTGTACAACCGGTGGTTGAAAGTGGGGACAGTAGCTCGTCGCCTACTGCTAGCCATAGCTAGAGAGTAAATACATTTTGAGGGGATAAAGAAGAGTCAACACCTTGGTAAATCTCACAAATCAATATGCGAAATCTTGTTGGCACAAAGCGGTGCCATGCTAGCTTTATGATGTAATCCTCTGGTTTTGGAAAATTGTAATTTAAATTAAATTAAAGCTTTTGGGCGGCAACAGTGTCCAATCTTGGTTGGCGGGAGTTAAAATCTGGTATAGAAAAGAAGCAAACCGACTAAAGGAAACGGAAGGAGGATCTGATCTGGATTATATTTGCAACCGAGGAGGAATAAGGGTTGGCCCATCAGAGCCTTCAGAAAAGGAACTGGAAGTGACCTCTCCAGTAGTCATGGGAAGGGGCTTCAGAGACAGAGGACATTAAAGGCTGGAGCAAATGGCGCATCGTCTGACCTTTTGCCATTCCACATATCCCATGTGATGTTATAAAAGCACTCAGCTGGACCACAGGCTGTTCCTCCAGATCCTTCCAAAGGACCATGGACATTATTTTCATAAATTGCCGAGCCCTGGACCAAAAGTTATGGATTGAAAAGCCCCAACCTGTGCTACTCCTGAGGTGGACCAAGCAAAAAGCCCCTGGCTTGGCTGGGGTTCCAGAAGATGCTCAAGCTTCCGGAAGGCCGATTGTGTGGACGTTCCACAGGCCCACCATCGGCCATTTCTCTTTCAGCCGTTACTTGGAGCGGACCCTCTGTCAGGCGCAGGGCAGGGTGCAGAGTGGAGATGGCGGCTTCCCCTGAGAGGGCTTCCACGTGGGAACCTCCCCCGGTCCAGTGAATCAGGCCGCTGGCCCGGTGGTCAAGGCCAGCCCTCGTTTCCTAGCAACGCAGAAGGAGAACCCGCTGACGTCGGCCTCCCATTGCTGATGCAGGTCTCAAATGACGTGGAACCGCTACCAGGAGCCGCACCTGGTGATGGGTGCCCCAGCTGGGGTGCTCCTGGGGATCGTGGCCCTCCTGCGGTTGTTGGGGGCGCACGGCTATGACCCAGAAAGTAAGTAGGCCCTGGGGATGGTGGGTGCTTGGGAAGATGGGCACTCCGCATGGATCTCACGTCAAAGGCCCACCCGTTGCGAGGGAGGGAGGTCACCCACCACCACAGGTCTTGTGGAAGTCTCCCCACACGTGTGCACCCACTTCATGAAGGCTGCCCTGCCAATCCCATGGGGCCTCGTTACTGCCAGGAGACGAGCTGTAAGAGAATCTTGGTCCAAGCAGTTGTGGGGAGGGTGGGGGGAAGTGAAGCAATGGCCGCCTCCAGGCTTTGGCTCCTGAGCATGTTTGATTAGAGGATTTCAGTAAGAAAACAGAGGAAGGGGAGAGTAACTCCCCACCAGTGAGGCCATCATGAACGGAGACCTGGTGCATTACCATCCTGTGCCAGAAGCTCACATCTTTTGGGGACGTCTCCTGCAACACCCGGGCAGCTCTCTCCCCTCAGCAAAAGGCCACCACTGTGTCAACGTAGGCCACCATCCTATGCCTTGGCTGCAATCTTAAGCAGTGACCCCATACCTGGGGTTGGGCAAAGGACGGCCTCCCAGAAGCTGCTGGGCCACACCGCCTCACCTTCCTCATCCCTGGCTGCACTGCCTGGCGAGGGCTGATGGAATCTATAGTCCAGCACTATTTTGGAGAGCCGCCCTGCACCCCTCCTGGCCCAGAGCCCCCTCTGTGATCATTCAGGAGGGCGAGGGGATCCACATGACTGCAGGGAAAGCATTTTTAAGATATGGTTGTTGTGGGTTTTTCGGGCTCTTTGGCCATTTTCTGAAGGTTGTTCCTCCTAATGTTTCACCACTCTCTGTGGCCATGGGCATCTTCAGACGACAGGAGAAGCACTCTGTGCTCTGATGCTGTTTGTTCGGATAGCTGAGTATTTATAGTTGTGGGAACAGCTTTTGTCCTTTTCAAGAGATTATTGTGGTGATCAGGGTGTTTTTTGTTGTAGGTGTATTGTTGTGATAAGGGGGAGAGATGATCTGTGACTGTGATTGATGGGTGTCATTAGCTGGTCTTTTGTGTGCAGTGATCACCGGTCCTTGTGGGTGGGTAGAGTTCGTTGACCTTTTGCAGTCTGTATTTTTCAGAGCTGGGCGCCAGGTTTTGTTGAGCTTCACACTTTCCTCTTTTTTTGTTGAAGTTCTGCTGATGTTTGTGGATTTCAGTGGCTTCCCTGTGTAGTCTAACATACAGATTGCTGGAGTTGTCCAGTATTTTGAAATAGAATTTCATGTCCAGCTTGTTTCAGAGCATGTTCAACATGCTACTGGCAATTTTTCCAGTTGTTTTTGTCTGCAGTGGCTCTCATGTTCTTTGATTCTGGTGTGGATGCTGCATTTTGTGGTTCCAATACATATACCTGGCCACAACTGCAAGGTATCCGGGGGTCCCTTCTGTCCTTTGCTGACCGTAACATTTGTTGTATTTTTGTGGTGGGATTGAATACTGTTTGTAGGTTGTGTTTTTTCAAAAGTTTTCCCATCTGGTCCATGACCCCTTTGATGTATGGCAGAAATACTTTATTTGTGGGTGGCTGCTTTTCTTCTTCAGTTCAGTGTTGTTTTCTTGGTTTGATGGCTCTTGTGATTTCATTTCTGGAGTAGCCAGTTGCCTGAAGGGCCCAATTCAGATGATTGAGTTTGGTGCTGAGAAAGTGAGCTTCACTGTTCTGATTTACACGGTCCACCAGTGTTTTGATTATGCCTCTTTTTTACTGTGGGTGGTGGTTGGACTTTTTGTGTAGGTACCGGTCTGGGTGGGTGGGTTTTCTGTAGACCTTGTGTCCCAGTCGGAGGTCAGTTTTGCATATGACCATGACATTTAAGAACGGGAGTTGGCCCTCTTATTTCTTTTTCCATGGTGAATTGTATATTTGGGTGGATGCTGTTGAGATAGTTCACAAATTCTTCCAATTTTTCTTCACTGTGGCTCTAAATTGCAAAGGTGTCATCCACATATCATGACCAGACTGTGGGTGTGAAGGGTGCCGAAGCCAGGGCAAGATTTTCGAAATGCTCCATGTAGAAGTTTGCTATAACTGGGCTGAGGGGGCTCCCCATGGCCACTCCATCTGTCTGTATATAGAACTTGTTATCTCACTGAAAGTAGCCACATAGAACTCGTTATCCCACTGAAAGTAGCCGGTCGTTAGGCGGTGTTGGAAAAGGGCCTTGATGTCTTTTGGAAAGATCTGCTGGAGGAGTGTCAGGGTGTCCTTTATTGGTACCTTGGTGAATAGGGATACTACATCAAAGCTGATCAGTCTGTCCCCAGGGTTGAGTCTTAGGCTGCTGATCTTGCTGATGAAATGTCCTGAGTCTTTGATGTAGGATGAGGTTTGTCCTTTTTAAGAGCATGAAACATGTGCTTCCTCTTAATGGTTGAGCTTAGCCGTCAATGCCACCGATGGCTGCGATCCTGAACATCCTTAGTGAGGAGCAAGTCCCAAGCTGAACACCGTGTGGGCTTTTGCTTTGGAGAGAACCTGCCCAGATTCAGGTTTCAGCTACAGCTGAATGGAGGCCGAAAAGGGCCTGGTGGGTCCTACCAAGTAAAACAAGAAACGAAGGAGCCTGTCTTTGGGGAGAAGAAGGCTTGTCAGCAGCTCCCCCGGTTTGCTGTCTCTGAGTCAACTGTGTCCATTGAAGAAATGTCCCAGAATCCCACAGGTTCCTGGAAAAGTCACCAGGTCTCAATATTTACCCAAATCAAAAAGCCCATCATCATCTTAATCATCATCTGGGTCCCAGGGACCTCATTTCAAAACCAGGATGACCATCAGCTCCTCTAAAATCACAAGCAAGGCCAATTCCTAAGCAGGGAGGCCAGCCCCTCCGAGTGAGCTTTCCATAAAGGGAGAAAAATATTTGTGTCTGTTAGAAGGTACGATTCTTCCAGAAAGACAGATTTGTGCTTATTTTTAATGCAAAGTTATTTTTATTTTCAAGGGAAAATGGGACCACCCTTAGTCAGATCTGCTTGGATTTGGATCCCTGCCTTGAGCAGGGGGTTGGACTCGGTGGCCTACGAGGCCCCTTCCGGCTCAGATTATTCCAGGATCCTATGCAGGTGTCTGAGAATGGCCGTTCACCTTCTGAGGAGGCCCTCTGGGGACATTGCTGGGACTCCCCTAAAAACCAGGACTCTTGTTTTCTACAGGAGGACAGTCTCGTGATTTTAGGCCGCCCCACCAGAGCCGGGGCAAGGCTATTTGTGAGAAAGGTGAGCCTGGAGTCACCCAAACTGGCCACGAGATGTCGCCACAGGTTGCTGGAAGAGGCGATGCGGAGTCTAAATTCCTAGACACCCATTTCCTTGGTTGCTTGCCATGGAGGGTCAGGGGAAACCCAGGCCTTTGCCCTTTGTCTTCTAGGTTTGGACAGGAGCAAAGTGCGGCCACACCAAAATGCACCAGGCTGTCTTTCTCTGCTTGCAAAAAGCTCACTTGGTGAGGTGCCCCCCTCCTCGCCTTCTGAGTTCTCAGTTTGTAAACCGCCCAGGGCAGTGTCTCCACTAGATGGGCAGCGTAGAAATAAAAAAACAAAACCAATGAATAAAAATTATAAGTAAACCAATAAGTAACGCAGAAACAAGCAGGAGTCCTGTGACATGGTTTTTTGGCACATTTCAGTGGCCAGAGTCTGCGCCTTCAACAGACTTGCACAATTATGTGTTTGTGTAAAACAAAGGCATTGCACAAAAGCCCACACCAATAGACCTTGTTTGGAAGGTGCCCCGAGACGCTTTGCTGTTTCTTGCAAAAGGTTATCCACCTACGACTCCTTCTCTGGACTCCCAAAGAGGTGCCAACGAAAAGGGCTGCCAAACCGTGGATGGGGTGGGGAGGGGGAGGCAGCCCAGGGGCCAGAAAAGAAGCCCCCGGGAAGCAGCTTGGCATGTCCTCCAGATGACCTGAAGTTGGCGTCACTCTCCTCTGGGAGCCTGCATTGCAACACAGGAGCAAGAGCCAAGAAGGGCACCACGCCTCGTGGCTGACACTAACCCCGCTACTTTCATCCTTGTGCTCATTGGTTCAAAGGTCTCCAGATGGCTGGCCTTCTTCGTTCAGGCACTTCTTTTTCTTTTTTCTTTTTTTTGGTATTTTTTATTTTTTATAAGGGATAACAAAAAGGAAAAGGGAATTGGGATTGATGAGGAAGAGGGGAGACAATAACATACTTTCATCCATTCTGTACCTATTGCCATATCAAGATATTAAATTATTCTTTTTACTCTTTTCTGCCTTCTAGATTCAGTTCTCCTTTCAATATGTACTGTTCACAAGCTGCCTGTTGATTCTGTCCACTTGTTAAATAGATCCCATCTTTCTGTTGCCTTTTGCAAGGGATAGTCCTTCATAACTTCTGATAAAATGTCCATTTCGGCTGTTTCCCGTATCTTTTCAATAAGATCTTCTTGTTTCGGTACCGTTGATCTTTTTGGTTCAGGCACTTCTAATGAATCCCAGGTCTTCCTTCCAAGTGTGGAAACGTGGCCGATCCCAGTAGCTCCTCCTCCCCTGCGTATTGCTCATCGCATTTATTGATTTATTTATTGACGGTTTGATTTTGATCTTTGTTGATCAGGACTCCTTGTGTAACTAAGTGTAAGGATATTGGGCTGTTTAACAGCTGGCTAGAGCCCGCTCCTCTCACAGCTATGGAACATGAATAACTGTTCTGGAAATTTGTAGTCAGAAGGAAAAGAGAGAGAGAGAGAAAAATACAGCTCCTGTTTGAGGAAGTCCATCCACAGATAGAGCAGGGGCGGGAAATCTAAGCTTGGTTACAGAAACCCCTAAGACCAGTTTGGTCGGCTGAGGCTCTGCTAGTTGCCGTCATGGAGGGGAGTCCCTACGCGATCTCTCTCTCTCTCTCTCTCTCTCTCTCTCTCTCTCTGTGTCTCAGAGCGGAATGACAGTTCTGAATTCGGAGAGGGAAAGAGGAAGGAAATTAGCCTGAGATCTGCCTATCATCCTCTCCAAAGTCAGGAGAGGAGAAAAGGGGACCAGCTACCTGGGACTCCTTGGTTATCCATCAAATCTCTCCTGGTTCAGGTGGCTTCTTACCACTGCTTTAAACTTCCAGCATTTAGAACTCTGGAAAACGGGGCATAACTTTTGGGCAAAGGTGAACCCACTGAGTTTGTTAAATTCAATAAATGAAATGGCCCCGTCCCTTCTGTTCCAGTGGGTGCCAGGCAGGAGTGAAATTCTTTGGAAAAGCTACCTGATGAGTCCATATCAAGGATCCACCTTTCCAGGATCTGTGCAGGCTTGCATCCTCTGTGCACGCCCCTGGCATCTCTTCCCTCCGTCTGCCCCATGATGCCTGGCCTGGCTCCTGCTGATTCTCCTCTCTGACTTTCTCCCCCTCCTTCCCCCCCCCAGCTTGTGGGAAGCGGCCCCTGGCCCCCAGCCATGGCGGCAGCCTGCGGATCGTGGGTGGCATCGATGCCTTGCCAGGATCGTGGCCTTGGCTGGTCAGCATCCAGATCCCTTCCGACAAGGGGCCAAAGCACTCGTGCGGGGGGTCCTTGCTGGCCCCTCCTTGGGTCCTCACGGCGGCCCACTGCTTCAAGACAAAGAGGAGGTGAGTGGGAAGACAGCGGCCAGGGGTTTGTCCCTATTTGGGGGGGGGGACAGAGTGGAGGGAAATTCCACTCGGGGAGGCATTTCCCAGCATCCTCTTGCCAGCATGCACACCACCTTATGTCCCTGGGGGATTCTGGTAAAACTGCAGAATAAGAGCCGAGGTCTCCCCAATTGTATGCCTGAGATCCTTTCTGCCTGGGAGATTCTAGGATGCAAAGAAGCTCTTCACAGTCCTAGCTGGTCCATGGCTCGTTCGTCTTGGGTAGGTGGGTGGGTGGGGGTCACAGACAGATGGGTGGCCCATCAGAGGCACCTCCATTAAGAGCTCCAAGACTCAAGGTTGAGAAGACGTTCCAGCCTTAAAGCAGCTTCCCTCAAGCTGGTCTTCTCCAATTGCGCTGGACTAAAAATGCCATCATCCCCAGCCCAGGAAACGTTTGCTTCAAGGGAGGCACTGGATCAAGAGGCCTTGGAGCATGGAGACCTCCACTGTCCATACATTGCTGCCTGTTGATTATATGTTTTTTTTTCTGGACCAGTTATGGAAGATGGAAGTGGCAGGTAGGACTGGAAGAAGTTCCTTCTTTGGACTACAGATTCCATCACCCAGCCAGCATGGCTAGTTCTTGCCACTGTTGGCTGTCACTCTTGTGGGAACTGTAGTCCAAAGGAACAGAAAGCTCCAGCCTCTGCTCTTGGGTTTCTCTTGGCTCTGCCCTTCCTGAACTGAGCACCTACCTGACTGGTCCGTGGGCAGACAGGAGAGTGGTATCCTGAGAGTGATGGCCAGGAGGGGCACCCGCCGAGGGTCCCTGAGCTGGCTTTGCTGGGAAGTGGCAGGTCTGGAATTTTGATCAAAGGGTATCTTAAGCAAAGGGAGAAAGTGCGGGCTAAGGAAAGGACAGGTCTGCAAGAGGGAGGAGGTTGGGGGTCCTCTGGATGCAGGCTACACAAGCAGAGGCTGGAAATGGTATTTATTCAGACTATGTTGCCCAGGAAAATGTCATGTTTCCAACAAAACCCGGCAGCTCCTGGCCCAAAAGGGTCTCCTGAGGACCTCCAGCTCTAACAGCGCTTTGTCTGCCCACCTGCAGGTCCTTGCATCTTTGGAAGATCGTGGTGGGTGCCACGGACCTCTCCGACTTGCCCAAGACGGTCCAGCTACGCTCCGTGCGCAAAGTCATCCTTCACCAGGATTATAATCCACGCACAGAGGCCAACGACATTGCGCTCATTCAGCTTGACAACCCTGTCACCTTCGGCAACTACGTGCAGCCAGCCTGCTTGCCCGAGAGCACTGCGGACTCCAAAACCACCTTCTCCCACTGCTACATCAGTGGCTGGGGAACCACCTCTCAGAACAGTGAGGGCATGGCGGAGGGGAGGGGAGGGAAGGAAAAGCTAGGCTGGAGAGCTCAGAGCTCAGAAACCATTGGCTGAAAATCAGCTCATCATTCTGTAGCCCAGGGGCGGGGGGAAATGTGACCCGTAGTCTGTGTTTGGCCCCCAGAAAAGCAAAATCAAAACCAACCAACCAACCAACCAAACAAACAAACAACCAAACAACCAAACAACTACCTACCTAACTACCTAACTACCTAACTACCTAACTAACTAACTACCTACCTACCTACCTACCTACCTACCTACCTACCTACCTACCTACCTACCTACCTACCTAACTACCTAACTAACTAACTAACTAACTAACTAACTAACTAACTAACTAACTAACTAACTAAGAGGTCTATTTGGAGCAGCAGTTTTTATCTTATGGGCCTGGTAGAATGTTGTAAGGCACCAGGGACCAGTCACCCCTTCCAAAGCAGACGTGCTGATGGATCATGAACCCATCAGGAAGCATAGAAGACATTTTTGCAGCCTCCCTGCAGGCTATCAACATACAGTAGGACCATCATATCCATGGGATCAGTATCTGCTGATTCACTTCTTCATGATCTGAAAACATGAAAAAACATATTTTTAAAAATTGTAGAAATATATATTTCTTAAGATGAAGTTACCAGAACTGGCCAGAGAGCCAGAGATCATGTTCTGTATAACATCCACTAGAGAAATATATTTCCATGATGCCATTTCCAAAATTGGCCACCAGAAGCAGCCAGAAGCCATGCTATGCATAACATTCGCTAATAAAATAGCATTCATTATAATCAGCATTTTTCAGCATCCGCACAGGGCAGGGGAACTCACTGTTCTTACATGTACTGTATGCGTGTCCACATATATAACATATCACAGATTTCTGAGTCCCATAATAAATTTACAGGGCTGTGGCAGTCCTCTTTCCCTCACCCCAACCCTGTCGCTGCGCTCCCAACATTGGACTGCTCTGCAAGGCTGTTGTGTGCTGCTCCAATTCCCTCCCCCTCTCCCCCCCTTGCAGAGCAAAAAGGCAGAACGATACAGGGGGGTCCTTTGCTGGGCTGTTAAGTATGGAGATCGGGATTGAGGGAAAGTGCCAAGAAATCTCTTCTCTGCTTGCAGGTGTTAAAACTTCAGATGTCCTGCAGGAAGCAAAAGTGAACCTTCTGCAGACAGAGAAGTGCAACAGTAGCCACTGGTACAACGGGGCCGTGGGGCCCCACACGTTGTGTGCTGGCTACGTGCAAGGGGGCGTCGACACTTGCCAGGTAAGGAGGCGCCCACACCTTTCTGGGGCAAAAGATGGTCCGTCTCTTTATTTACTGCTGGGTCGCTCCGTGATTTAGGTCTCTGGCTGCAGAGCTAAAGGCTGTGAGAAGAGAAGGGCACGAATCACAAAATTCATTCAAAAATCACTAATTCGGTGATTCGTATTCATACGAATCAATGCCCCCAGCAAATAAGAATCAGTGAGTAATTTCTGATTCATTGATTATTTTGGCTGTAACCCCCCCCTTCCTCTGACTCTTCTACAATCCCTCAGAGTTTGGTGGAGATTGTGTTTCAGATGTCTGAGTTATACACCCACAAAGAGCCCCCCCAGGAAGTTCTCCCCAAGCACCTAGAGACACCAAAATCACAGAGAAGCTTTTGCTGACTCTCCTCTACAGTCCCTCCATGTTTGGTGAAGATTGGGTTTTCCCAAAATCAGCTGCTCAAGGGCACTTTCCTGGGCGGGGGAACCACTTTGTGGGTGTATAACTTGGATGTCCGAAACCCGATCTTCACCAAACCTGCAGAGGAGACTCTTGTAGAGGAGAGTCGAAGGAAACTTCCCTGTAAATTTGGTGTCTTTAGGCACTCGGGAGGCCATTTTCTAGGGGGTTAGAGTGAAAAACGAATTGACAAATCAATTCGTCGATTCGTCAGAAAAAAATCATAAATTTGTAATTTGTGATTCATTGACCTTGATGAAGCATGAATCAAAACGAATCGCCATTTTTCTTATTCATGCCCATCTCTAGCCGTGAGTGTGTTTCCCCACGGGGCCTCCTTGAGAGGGGCTGGACATGATGATCCAGAGGGTCCCATCCAGCCCTGCTGTTCTTATTATTTTGATTCACAAAAACAGCCTTGGAGGGGCTTATGCAGTCTGGGTGTGTGTGCCTTGTTGACTCCAATCAAGCCCCAGAAAACTAACAAATAGAACAGAAAAACAAAACTGCTCATGAGTAGTCCTCTCCTGCATTCAAGAATGTCAGCCTCCGGGAGCTGCCTCTTGAGATTGCCTGTCAAAATTCCTTTTAAGACTAATGCCTGGCATGTGAGCCTGATGAAGCCCTTGCTAGCTGACCCTGGACAAGATGATAGCCTAGAACCCCTCAAGCTGACCCGGTCCTCTCTCCCCATTTGATTTCCCCCATTGAAAGTGCCTTCTTTTCCTTCCCTGTGCAGGGGGACAGTGGGGGGCCCTTAATGTGCAAGACGTCCCCCAAATCCGTCTACTACATAGTCGGCATCACTAGCTGGGGCAAAGGCTGTGCCCAAGCCAACAATCCCGGGATCTACACCTCGACCATAGACTTCCTGGAATGGATCTTGGGGCAGATGATGAGAGCCAAAGCGGGGAAGCCCGCAAGGAAGGAAGGTCTGCCGAAGAACAACACGGAACCCACTCCGGCCCATCCCGGGGGCATCACGCTCCTTCCGGTGACCACGCTGGTGCAGAATGAGTTGGAGTTCCCCACAGAGACCCCAGCGGCCACCACCAGCACCCTCCCCAAGCCGGGCGCCATCCCTTTGCCCCCAGATGCCTCCCCGGGAGCCTCTGAAACGGCCGCGGGCGTGGGCAGCATCCCTCTGCCCCCCGACGCCTCTTCCGAACCCCCCCGAAGCACAAGCGAGTTCTCCTCCACCGCTGCCTCTCTTGAAACCAGCCTTGGCCTGGCCCCTCTGCCAGCAAGCGCCTCTTCGGGAACTCTGGAGACGCCAAGAGAGGAGGGGGGAAGGGGCCTCCCCGCTTCCGCAAAGCCTCCCCAGCGGCCCAATGCAACCTTGGCCCCAAAGCCTAATGAGACGGAGCCCACGGTCATTATAGCGG